GGCAGCTCGAATTGTTCTTGGTTTCTCTTCCGGTCATGTGACTGCCTCCTCGAACACTTCCCCGCATGGATGAACAACGGCTGTCACAGTGCTCTGACGCGTGTTTGTTGGGATCTTTGAGAGCTTGGGATGCAGTCTTGTATTTCAACAAACAGCCCCGGTGGCCAAGACATGAAACAGAGGGAGCTAAATATCTCTGTGTGTGTATTTGCATGATTTAAGGTTAAGGGTGTCTTGGATGACATTTTGGAAAAACTTCCAGAAGAGTTCAACATGTCAGAAATAATGCAGAAAACCTCAAATAGAAGCCCCTACGTCCTTGTTTGCTTCCAAGAATGTGAGAGGATGAATATTCTCCTTCAAGAAATCCGTGGGTCGCTTCAACAGTTGGACCTTGGTTTAAAGGTAAGTCAAATCGGGATCTGGAGTTGGGGCAACCACACTGACCGGCATTCACTCACCATGCGGCCCTTTCTCCCCATGCCAGGGGGAGCTAACGTCATCCCCTGAGATGGAAGCCCAGCAGGCTGCACTGTGTTACGACGTGGTACCCGACACGTGGGGCAAGCTGGCGTACCCCTCAACTTACGGCCTGGCTCAGTGGTAAGCTCCCCACATCCTCACTGCCCGCCCTCTTGGTTGCATTCTGAATTCTGCCCGGAGAACGGGGAGGGCTGTACTGTGACGTACCCAGATACTTGTGCCAACTCTGCAGCCAGTTTCACGTGAAGTCTTCAATGTCAAAACGCCCTTGGAAATATCCCTGGCTCTCTGCCTAGATTTTTTCATCGAAACAACGAAAAAGTGGGATAACTGGAACCCTTATTGTCTAAAATTGGCGTGAAAGGCAAAATGAATTTGCTCTCATGTCCTCTTATATTTTCCAAGCCAGTGCTAGCTTAATGCTAGCTCATACAGCCAACTTTTAAAGGCATGTCATATGGTCTGCAGGCCAGTGTAATCTCCAGCTGGTAGTTGGCTCTTTTCGGGTCTCTACTCTTCTATTCTCCCACGAACCAGAATGCTACCCTACACTTGGAGCTGGAAGGTCCTGTTAGAATCCCATAGCTGTGCGCATTGGCCCTCCAGCACCTGTGTTTGAGAATGACATGCACAGAGGAGTCAGAGATGCCGTGCGGAAGCACCCACAGCTGCCAGCAATAGGCACAGCGGGTGAACTCGAGCCAAACCTCTCACTGGTCTCTGTGCGTCAACACTATAAATAACCCATGTCAGATTTCAGGCTGCTGCTCAGCCAAACCAGTCAGTGCCCCGGAGTCAACTCGGACTCTGTCCCCCGTTGCTGTGTGCACCGCTTCTCCGTTCCAGGCCTTGTTTACTGTCTGACATTTAGCAGGGCTTTGGGGGAGGTAGGGGTCTAAGAGGTCAATTCTGTGTGTACTGTCGGCTCTGCCAAGACTCTTAAATCTGAGGGTTTACTGGGTCATAGAACTCTTGTAAACCTTCAGTATTTCCTCTTAGAACTTTGTTGTTGTAACTCTATTGACTTCAAGACTCTGCTTCCCATTTCTTCCCCAAAATCAACTTATCTCAATTCTCTTGCAATTTTAAAGATTGGTTTTTAATGTTCTATAGGTTTTCAGGTGTGGATTTGTTAATTTTTAAAAGTTTCTTGCCAGGTCCTGTGTGCAGACTTAAATGAGAGCAGCACCTGGTGTTTCCACTCTGAAAACTACTCACCCTGATTTCCCATCCTCTTACCTGTATTATCTACAGTAACTTCTCCTGGATTTTCAATCATTGTCTCTCTCCTATAATCTAGTAGATCTTTATTGTACCTTCAACTGTTTGTCCTTATTTATATAAAGGGTAGGGGAAATAGCATAGTTTAGTTTCATAATTTGTTATCTCATGCCACCTAGCCTGTTGTTTTACACCTCAGTGTGTAGGAGGGGCTTTATCGGCATCACTCGAGTCTCAGCGATGTTGTGAAGTCTATGGCTCGTAGAAGGAGTCATGTCTTTGCTGGGTGTCACAAGAACTTGTCTTCTAAAACTATATTGCGTACCCGGAGTCGATATTCCTTGGGAAAACGCTCAATACATACATTCAAATACCTCAGGAAAAGATGTCAGATTTTCTAGAGTTTTATTTAGTCTTATCTTAATTTCTTTCTTAACTATGAATTTCCCCCTAGTTTTCTATTACTGTTCTTCCTTTATGCTGATGTGGTGTTTTTTTTTAATAATGTAGTTTAAATGAGTTTCCTCTTACGCGATCCCTAAATTCTGAAGCCAAATCCCTCTGCACATGCTACTGCCTCTGCTCACTCCCGGTCCTGGAAACCGGTGGCTGCCCTCCCCTCCGACACACTGCGCCTGTGCTCTGGCTTTTCAGGTGCTCGTCAACCTTACACAGAGCACCTTTGTCATCTGTTGTGGTGACTCACAGCGACCCTATGTCAATCACCAAGAGCTACTTACTGTTTTGAAAAAGAGAAGGGAAGCCCCTCGAGGACATGGATTGGCTCAGTGGCTGGAACAGTGGGCTCAACAACTGTGACTGCCCTGGCAGTGGTTTGCTCTGTGTGATACAGGGTCTCTGAGTGGGGGCCCCCTGGCAGCACCTAACAACTTTCTGTGCTTCAGACCCTTCCGCACTTTTTGTGGGAAGAGCTCTGGCGGTGTGAAAAGCTCAAAGGAAACATCCTACAGATCCCCAGGCAACGATCTTGCAAACCAATTATGTAATTCTCCCTTCCTCCTGCAATTTACCCAGTGGACACAGCAATGGGCTCCAACAGTGTTTTGTTGTTGTACACAGGGCTGCTGTGAACAAGCACCTTCTACAGCCTGCCATTAACAAGGAGCAACTCTGGTGATTCTGAGGGTTAGCGCTAGGCTGCCAAGTGAAAGGTGGGTGGGCTGGAACCCACCAGCCACTCTGCTAGAGCAAGATGGATGTAGCGGCTGCTTCTTCAGTAAGATTCAGCCAAGAAAACCATCAAGGGCAGTTTCACTCTCACTCTGTCTCGGCTTGACGGCTACAGGTCTGGTTTGTTTTTTTTCTACTAACCAGGTTTAACGACCTCCTCTTGCGATGCCGAGAACTGGATACTTGGACACAAGACCTTGTTCTTCCAGCCGTGGTGTGGCTCTCTGGCTTCTTCAACCCACAGTCCTTCTTAACAGGTAAGGGCTGGAGCAGAGCAGACCACGCCCGTGCCAGCAGCCCACACCTGTGCCACAAGTTCTGCCCAGCTTCACAGGTGGCTGTTGAGCAAGCAGGACAGGAGTCACAAAGTGGGCTGGGATGTGGCTCACCTGAGCACAAGGTTCAGTAAAGCCCATAGGTGGTGAGTCAGACAGAATATAGCGCTATGGCTGGGTATGGTAGCATTTAGGGGAAACAAACTTCGGGTACAAAAGCAGGGAGAGGGTAGCCCATGGGATGTGTTTATGTCATGTGGAACCTGAGCTCGTGCCCTCTTGACTTCCTATCCCTCACCTCCCTAAAAGCAATCATGCAGACCACGGCTCGGAAAAATGGATGGCCTCTGGACAAAACGTGCCTGACTGCTGACGTCACCAAGAAGACGAAGGAGGATTACGGCCACCCCCCAAGGGAAGGCGCCTACCTTCACGGGCTGCTCCTGGAAGGTGAGGCGCCCAGGCCGTTTCGGACGGACTCAAGTTGGTGCTCGTCCTTTGCCGCACACAGTACCCACGTGCTAGAGAGGACTTCCTTACCTCTGCCTCCGTCAGTGTGCCTAGGCCAGGATGTGTGTGTCCAAAGTGAGCCACATTTTGAGGCACGTGAGGTGATGGCGGTCACTATTTAAAAGCCCAAACTTACAGCCAAGCCTAGAGAAGACGTGCCCTTGCGCGGCTCCGGGAGGAGAAAGCCTGTGTTTCTCCCAGGAAGCGGCAGCGATGAACGCCTCACCTTGTGTTTAGCAACCCACCAGGGCTCCTGGCATTGAGTAGTCGTCACCTCTAAGAGGAGGGGCAGGGTACGCAGTATTGTCCAAATTCACTTCGTCTCCGGGCATTTGGTCTGCAGGACACTTCCTGAAATGTGATTTCAGTCCTCACCAAGATGCTCCTTCTCCTTTTAAAGCAAATGCCAGACTGAGACCAATGGAGAGGAAGGTGCATGCTTGAATGAATTTCTTTTGATTGACATAGGAAAACTGAATTGTTAGATACACAAAGAGCCAATTCAGGAAAGAGCGCCAACAAGTTATAATGTGATAAAAGCCAGAACATTTATTGCTAGAAACATGCCTTACAGTCAAAATCCTCTTGTGTTACCACAGGTGCCCGATGGGACGTGCAGGCAGGGACCATTAGCGAAGCCCGCCTCAAGGAGCTGACGTCCACGATGCCAGTCATCTTTGCAAAAGCCTTACCCATGGACAGACAGGAAACCAAACACACCTACGAGTGCCCCCTGTACAGAACCAAAGCCAGAGGCCCCAACTACGTGTGGACCTTCAGGTTGAAGAGCAAAGAGAAAGCCACCAAATGGGTTCTGGCAGGTGTGGCTCTGCTGCTAGAAGCGTAAGTGGTCCTCGCACCTCTCCAGCTGTGTAACGTGCATGTGCATTAATTAACTTTGTGAGGGAGACATTAGCCTGGAAGCCACAGCTATCTGTCCCACCCAAGTCTCCCCGCACCTGCGTGCACACCAGTCTCTAAAGCGGGACTTAGCGCTTGTGGAGAGTAACATCTTTTAAAGCGGCTGGCCCCAGGACTCAGAGGTCTTGGATGACGAGACAGGACGCTCCTGCTGGCCAGCAGCGCTCTGAGCTTCCAGTGTTGGTAGATCATTGATGGTCTACTTTCGTTCATTCAAGTTTCAATAAAAATATAACTCTAGAATTCTATGGTTAATTGCACTTTTGTTTAAAGGAGGTTGGTTTGACACAGTTGAAGGAAAACCAGGCCTAGAGTTAAAACTGTTTAGGACATGAAAGATCAAGGCAAGAGCTGCTTCTAAAATGTTTTCTTGTGACTTCCCTGGGTTCTCCCCCCCCACCCCCCTTAAATTGTGCTTTTCTCAATAGGTAAATACTTTTAGCGATTCAATATATACAAGCAGGTATGTATTAGATGCCTCTACTCTTTCCTGAGAAATCTTTTGAGACATAGACACTCTAAAGAGACTTTCTTATACAAACACCATGGTCAGAGATCATCTTAGGCACAAGGGGCACGGCAGGCGCTGGAGGCATCGACGGTGAGGTGAGTGGGTCTTGGTGTCTAACGGCCGTCTCCGAGCTGCTTCTGTAAGCTGAGGGAAAGATACAAAGTGTGAGAGCTGCGGTCTACCTGAAATGTGGACGCCACCCCTCTCTCCTTGTCCCTAGGCTGAGAGAAAGTTGATGCACTTGGCTACTATTCATGTAGCACTCTCCTAGCCCTAAACTTGCGCTTCGTTACAAATTATTCTCTTAGTATTCACCACATGTGAAGCTGCTTTAGACCTTTCTCTTCAGAAATAGGCCTAACACTCTGCTTCTTAAAAGCCCTCCAGAACTCCGTGTCAACTGCCCTTGGTTTTGAGAGCATGCATTTCGCCTGCCTTGGGCTCTTGGTTCCCTACCATAAGCAGAAATCATTGGTGAAGACAGGTAACCATTCCTAGGAAGAGCAATGTCAGCATTGAGCTTATCCAACTGGAAAGGACAGCACTCCAGGTGGTTTCTATAAATCACCCAGGAAACAAGGCAGCTGGTTTCCCTGCTGCCTGACCCTGGGGCTAGAGCCTCCAGGCCAGACTTACCTCTCCAGATACTCCTTGACGTTATTGTAACCATAAAACTTGGCCAAATGAATGAGGATCCCTGTGGCACAGCGTCCATCACGCTTCCGACAGTAGCTGCAATTGCAGATGCCCCGGCAAGGAGGACACATCCAATCCTAAGACACACAACAGAGGAATGTGCCCCGAGTGGAGACAGCGCCTCACTTCACAAGTACAACACAGGTTAGTTCTATAAATGCAGGGCCCTGCGCAGAGTGAGAGTGCACTTGTCTAAAACTGAAGAATCAGCCCTGGGTTTAGAAATACCACCTGGTTTCAGACAAATATTCTACAGCCAAATGGGATCATTTCTGAGAAGTTTACTTGGCAGGATGTACCCCGGCTAGGAAGTCTAATGAACAGTTCAGAACCCAGAGTGCCCAGGTTGAAGTTCACACAATGTATCTCATTGCAGAGGGAGCTTATGTATTCAAAAGGCTAGGTCAGTTACCTGAATTAACAATGGTTAAAGCTCTTATCTGGAATCTATGTGTATCAGACAGCAGTGGGAAACAGCACAAAATCTTCCCCTGTCCCTTGGACAGCTTTTCCCATTGCCAAAAGAAACCCTCTTTTCCACTCCCCAACCTGAACACACACAGAGCAGAGCTGGCAGCGACAGGTCCCCAATAAAGGCTGAGAAGGAGCCCCAGCTAGGGCGTCCTCCCCTGTCACAAGAGCTAAGAAACACAAGCCCCATTCCTACCGGGTCCAGGAGAGCAGATCTCACGTCCTCCCCATAGCGGTTCCGCAGGCAGGGCCCACAGAACTGTCCACGCACTCCCCCGCAGGCCTGGCTCCGGCACACGGTCTTGGTGTCGATGGTCTTCTGCCGACACTGGTGGCAGGTGTTGCCCTGGAAGAAGGAGAGCAGCTGGATGTGCGGGGATGGGCACAGGCTGTCCTTCCCCCACCAGGTGCCTTCTCGAATCCAGCTTCTGCTTCTCCAGTACAAGCTGAGCCACCTGACTTCTAGAGCCAGAGAAGTGTGAAGGTGGCTGTGGCCAGGCCGGGAAGAAACAAAGTGCTCAGGAGGCAGGACCCCAACTAGCCAGCGGTAAGCTCCATCCACCATGGCCTGAAGGTCGGAGTTTTTCCCTAGTGCGAAATCTGATTGTGAGCTAAGACAAGCACTGGGGAAACACACAAAACCTCCCCCTCTAAGTGATACCCAACCAAGCTCACTGCCACCGGTTCTATTCACAGTGATTCTCATAGGACAGAGTAGAACTGCGTGTATGTTTCCAAAACCTTAAGTCTTTATGGGAACAGAAAGCCCTTTCTCTCGGGAAGCAGCTGGTGGTTTCGAACTGCTGACCTGGCAGTTAGCAGTCCAATGCACAACCACTACACCACCAGGGCGCCTGGATAATAGATAATAGCATGTTAATAGAAATGATATGCACTGTGAAAATAAACGGCATTTCCAAAACCTATACCCATTTCCCCAGAGAGCTCTCCTGCGGAAAAAGTCTGTACTGAGCTGCCTTCTGTTTGGTCACAGGCGTCAACCCTTCCACTTTCAACCCACCCCACACTGATGGTGCAAGGCATATGGCCTGGCAGAGCTCAGAAACAATGTGAGCCTCAAGAAGCGAAGGCCTCGGCCTCTCGAGCCAGCAGCATGCAAACCACTTGTACACTATTACGTTACCAGAACTTTATCATATATTTTATCTCGGACAGTGATGGCCACATTTTCTAAGTCCTCTTCCGTGATGTCCTCCACTGGCCGGAAAGATGAGGCGCGGCGACGCCGTCTATAGCCCTGGCACTGCGCCTGCGAAAGGAGCCCAAGCAGAGCCTGGAATCGGGGATTCTGTGTGGTCTGAGACAGAACCGTGAACCGCCCGCACCACCACTGTTAACCATGGCCTGCTACTGTTTCCTCAGCCCGGCAGGGGCCACCTGCAGAGCTGCTGCCACGCTTCCTTCTCAGTGAGGCGAGGCGATGCAGCAAGAACCTCAGGTTTGCTGGCTTTTCGATTCTGCAGTTAGTGGAATTAGACCAAGTACATCTCGATTAAAAGAGCAACAAAGAAGAAGGGTTCAAAGTCGCTCCCACCACATTGGACATTTCAAATGCCCCCTTCTTAAATCAGAGAGTCGGGGAGAAACCACTGTGCACGCCAACACGCAGAGGTCAGGAGCCACAGGGATGCTCGCCAGCACGTACTCTGCGCTCTACAGCCCAGAGGTTCTCCTCAGTGCTCCCAGGACCACCACCGTTGGGGGCCTGGGGAGAAATCATTCTCCGTGGCCCCCGTCTGAGCAGAAACTGCATTAGCCCCTGTGCAATCGGGGGCCCATGGGTGAGTGTGACCCCTGTTTCTACCACTTTGAGGTGCACCGGCTGACACCAAGAATAACTAGCTTATAGTCAGTAGTTACCCCACTGATGGTCTTCCTTCTTCTCAAACTGTACAGCTCTTCTGCAAAGTTGGCAGCCGAGACGGTGAAGTTCTCCAGCGCAAACTTCTCGGGGGGCCGCGCACTGCGGGTGGGGTTGGTGCGCCGCTGGATCTGCCCCTCCGAGAAGGCTCGCCTCGAGGTCTTCTTCTGAAATGGAGAGCACGTACACGCATGCACTAGCCGTGACTGGAGACCACCCAGCAGAAGATCTATTTGAATCAGAATCTGCAGCTGCAAGAGGATCCACTTACCGGCGCGGAGCTTGGGGTTCTTACTGGGAAGAAATCTGGCATAGAATTCAATTCCGCCAATAGCTGAGCAAGCTGCAGGGCAAAAGGGGAGGAAGGGCCACATGTAACACGCTCAGATATACTCCACCTGGTCACCTGAATTTTAAAGAATTTCCTCTCCAGAGGCAAACTGCTGACATGACTATATAAACTAACAAAATGTGCTCCTATTCCTAAAACATAAGGGGCACATGACTTGGTAAAGCTGGTCTGGAAATGCAGTGGCCTGGTGGCGCCCAGGTCTGAATCCCAACCTGACCACTGGTTAACAGGGTGACCCTGTTCGCCTGCACCTCCTTTCATCATGTCTGAAAAAGAAACGCCTGGACTACGTACATCCTGCTGGCTACTCGGCTCTCCAAAAATCAGATCCTTTATTGAATTTCTCATCAATAAAAACTTAGAAAAATATTCCCAAATAAACACGTGATGGGGAAATTACTGACCAAATACCAGGCAGAGAAGTTTAATTAGGAATCTTTTGGGTTTCAATTTAAAGAGCCCTGGTGGCCTGTAGGGGAAGCATCAGACTGATAACCACAAGGTTGGTGATTCAAAGTCACCTTGGGAGAAAGTTGAGGCGGTCTGCTCCTATGAAGATTTACAGCCTTGGAAACCCTATAGAGGGGCAGAATGGACTGGAGGGCAGTGGGTACTTAATTTCAAATAAGAACACTATGGTTCTTATAAATTGAAAGTCTGTGGCCATGCTGCAAACTCTACTGGCATCATTTTTTTCTCATGGCAGTGTTACACTTTGGTAATTCTTACAGTATTTCAAACTACTTTCATGATGCTATTGCACAGTAAGTCTACACAGTATATTCATGTAAACCTAGCTTTCATGGGCATAGAGAGACTGACTCACTTTTAGTGGCCTGGAACTGAGCCTGCAGGATCTTTAAGGTATGCTTATGCACACACAATTAGGTTATACCCATTGCCATCTAACCAATTTTGTCTCATAGGGACCCTACGGGACTAAGTAGAACTGCCGCAATATGGTCTCCAGCGCTACACATCTTTAAGAAAGCACACTGGCACATTTTCCCTCTGTGAAGTGGCTATGTGTTTGAACTGCCAACCTCTCAGTAAGCAGCTGAGTGCTTCAAGCACTGCACACCAGGGCTCTGGAGTAAATAGGAACCTGGTAGTGTAGTGGTTACACATTGGGCTGCCATCCCTGTAAAGAGTTAAGTCTCAGAAACCCACAGGGGCAGTTCTACCCTGTCCTATAGGATTGAAATACATCAAAATGCTAAAAAATAGTTATTGAACAGTGAAATTATTTTTTAATTCTGTATGTGAAACCAAACTTACAGCCATTGAGTTTTCCAATTCACAGTCACTCTACAGGACAGGGGAAAACTGTCCCTGTGGGGTTCCCTAGACTGTTAATTTTTCATCTGAGTAGAAAGCCTCACCTTTCTCCTGGGGAGTGGCTGGTAGTTTTGAACTGCTGATCTTGCAGGTAGCAGCCCAAAACATAACCACTACACCACCAGGGCTACTTCAATTCTGTATACACAGAACAGTAATGAATGAGTCTCAACAATCACATATGGGGAAAACCAAACCCATGCAACACAGATTTCACCCTCTTCTATTGCTGGTTGCTATGAAGACATTTTACAGCCATAGTGAATTAAAACTGCCTTCACTTGTATTCCTAGACTGTTTCCATTCTTTCCCATGAATGCCGCCGAGCCACACCTGTGCACCCCCCAACCCCCAAGCAGCTTCTAGCTGGGAAGCCACCTTCCTGTGCTAAACATTACAACCCCCACCTCCTTAGTCGGCTTCCTTCTGCTGGGGCCAGGGCAACATAAGCTCTCTCTGCTTAGAGCTTATCACTAATAAACGAGATTCACCCATGACACTATTCGGGGGCACTGAACATGGACTGGAGTATATTCTAAACCAGAGTGATCATGTGATAACTGCTTGGGGCGCTGGCAAAGAACATTAGTGCACAATAGGCACAGCACATTCTCGTGGCAGAAGCCACGCCAGCAGCTGCTGTATGGGCAAGGACCTTGGTGAGCTGCTGCGCCAGGCTGGTCAGAGCCCACCGCCAGCCCCCACCCTGCCAGCCCGAGCCTTACCATGGCCTTGTTTTCCTTGATGTTCATGGTCCTCTTCAGCAGGGCATCGGAGCTCTCCTGGTCCTCGTCCCTGGAGTC